TCTTCAGCTGTCACTATCATAAAGGCAACAAAAGCCCAAAAAATACTTTAAAACTTTTTTTTTAAATCACAATTTCACAGAGGCAAAGGTGTGCTCAGATTTCTTGGATTTGCTTGTTTTGTCCAACAAACAGTCCAAACCCTGAAGATATGAGAACATGTTAAAAAGAAGCAGTAAATCAAAACATTTTAGAAGTTAGGGAGTGAGAATGATTTTGCTAAATGAATTACTTTTACTATTGTTAATCAGTTATCAAATAATATGATACATTAATAATAACTTAATTGTTTCAAAAGTACTAACATCACTGGTGTGTAGTGTTTAATGTATTTCAGATAACATGTCTCATTTCGTTCAGTTAGCGGTTTTGTGTCCTTTCCAAGCAATAGTGATAGGAGAATAAAACTGATAACGTAGGAATAACAAAATCATTGTGGCTAATATGATTGTTTGTTTTCTTATCAGGAGTTAGATGAGAAGGTTGATACTACTATCATATCTGCAGCAGCCAGTTAGTATAGCTGAACTGCATAAAGTAGCCCGGATAACTAGTGGGCCCTCTAAAGCTCACTATATCTCTTCATTTCTTTTAACAGTGTGACGACAGTGCAGACTGGAAGATGAACGGAGCCGGTTTTGCTCACAGCCACCAGCACGGCTTTGGTCTGCTTAATGCATGGAGACTCGTCAATGCTGCAAAGGTAGGGCTGCAACCACGAGCCATTTATATGTTCAATTCATCTATTCATTATTTCTATAATTATTTTTTTAGTCCAGGAAATTACAAACATGATTGTATAATTCCCACCACAAGCTAGCACCAGAGACCAAAGTTCTGTCTGTTCTCTCTCTCAGGTATGGGAGTCGGTGCCATTCCTTGTGTCCTATCAGAGCTCAGTCCTGAAGGAGGACGCATCCATCCCAGTGAATTCCGACGCGCTGATCCGCACCTGGACAGGTAACACTGTCCGCTCCTCTCTCACTCTCTCAGCTCTGTTTTGGCCAGCTGCTTGTTGAGTTTACACACTGCACTACGTAGCTGCCTCCCTCCCTCCTTCCCTCCCTCCTTCCCTGCCTGCTCCTCAGTCAGTCTGCCTCTCCATATTAGGTAATGTTCTCTTGTTTGTGTGTTCCTGCGTCCACGTTGAAATACTGGGTGAGAGTTTTCCAGATTGCATTTCTTTTTCATTCCCCTCCCCCTCCAATCTGTCTCTGTATTTTACAACCGCTCTTAGTGGCTTTTGTACCTTTTTCCCTTCTCCGCACTATGATTCGCTTATATTCGACTGTCTGTGTATGTGATCTGTCTTTCCTTCTCTCCCTCACACACACTTTTTCACATAAGCTCATGGTGACCTCATTCTAGCAGACAGAAACTTTTTCTTCTCCCTCTTTTGCACTCCTCCCTTGATCTGTATCTTCCCTCTTTTATGGCCTCGTCACAGTCAGGGGCACAGCCTCTCT